CGAATACATTTAACACAAGGATAGGGCGTGCTGCGTAGCCGGTGTCTATATGCTCACACGAACTAATGACTCATCTTTTATGAAAGCAATTTTTTCTCCAAATAATTATTTCGGCATATTTCTCTAATCGTCACGTCAGTTGGAGAGCACACGCACCGGTAACATTATTCGCGCAGTATGCTAACTACACGCTATAAATAAACAAATAAATTGCTCAGTATTATACGTGCATAATACCATAGTATTATTTCATCCATTCAAATAGTGCTCACTGCTGGGCCGTCTCTACGGCATCGCGGCGACACGTACGTTTATTCAGAACGTGGACGGGGTATGGAGGAGCCGTGCCGCGTATACGTGCGCGCCATTTTATCACCGCCATTAAAACTAGTTCATCGAAAACATTAAAGCAATATTTAAACAATTTTATATGTATGTTACGTCGTTTAACGGGGCTCGAATTGCCGACGAACACGGTTGCTTGTATAGCGTCGTCAGAAATTCATAGCAGATAAGCGGTTACTAACTATCTGAATATACTATAGAGGTTAAACCAATAACGGACGTTTTTCTGCCCTGGTCTATGCAATTTAAATTCGGCACATAGTTAATTTGCTCCACTGTACTTCGACACGTAGCGTGAAATGTTTTTCGTAGCGTGGAAAAATGTTTTTCGTCATAACAATAATTAGACGTTGCCAAAGATGTATGCGCAAATTATTTGTTTCTGTTTCTGGTATAGGCTAGTAGTGCTGCGCGTGTATTAATTACGTGACAAGTGTGTATATATACGCCATAATCACGCAGTTATTCACTACAGGGAAACATATAGCCTCTCTGTATCACCGCGAAAATCCCACGTGCTTTTACTAATTTTCATTGTACTACTGTCGTTTTTAACTCGGTTACTGTTGCTTTACGGCATTATCTGGGCGACATTTTATTCCAATCGCAATTCATATTTAATGCATCTCGGTCGCTCTTGCGAGTGTAATTCTTCACACGCAAACGGGAGCGCTAATTAGAATTAGAGCAGGGGCATCACGTTCGTGTCTCGCACATCTTGCCGACCTCATAATGTATGTGTGTGTGTGTGTGTGTGTGTGTGTGTGTGTGTGTGTGTGTGTGTGTGTGTGTGTGTGTGTGTGTGTGTGTGTGTGTGTGTGTATGTGTGTGTGTGTGTGGAGTGTTTGTGGTGTGTGTGTGGTGGTGAGTGTGTGCGTGGTGTGCTGTGTGGTGTGTGTGTGTGTGTGTGTGTGCGTGTGCGTGTGCGTGTGCGTGCGCGTGCGCGTGTGCGTGTGAATATATTCGCGCTGAATGACAACTAACCAGCGAGGTTTTGTTCACGCGTTGCGAACCAGCGAGGTTTTGTTCAGGCGTTGCGAGTGGTAGAGATGATGACAGTTGATCCTGAACTCGAATAGAAATGAATGCCACTCAATACAGCGCCAAAACGCACACTTCCCCCGCCCTCTTCACCACCGCTGTTGTCGTGTGGGCTCGTGCACATGCGTGCGTGTGTGCCGTCCGTTTCAGCGGCTATCGCACGTCGGCATAGCGCGTAGGGGGATGCTCACCTGTTTAGCGAAGACGGCGATGTCCTCGTTGAAGGATTCCGACGAGCAGACGTCGCCGCCGGCGACTCCCGGCTCCCGCGGGGTGCACGTCGCCAGCTCGCACTTCTCAAATATGAGCGCCAGCAGCGGGAAGAGCGGATGCCTGCGTGAAACGAAAAACCGCGAGTTTAGACGCGCATTTCAGGCGCCAAAATCCGTCTTTGAATCTCATTCTTCCCTCATCCAACACGCATATCTTTATGTATATTCTTAAAGTAGATTACGGTCGCCCGTAGGCGCAACGACTGCGGCGGTCTACGCGCGTATTATCAATAATAATAATAATAAATTCGCAAGAATAATTTCCAAGAAAAACTGGTATTACGACGGGGGATGAAATCAGATGATGCTTTAGCGCGCATGCATTATGTAGCGTGTCGTTTAATGCGAGACGCGTTTTATTATTATTCGCTGCCTTAGCTCCCGCCGTCTTACGCGCTGCGTATGTTCGAGTGTCTTGACACGGTTTCCGGTAAGCGTAGATATTATTTATTAACATATCGCTATGCCAGTATGCATTATAGATCTACACGCGTTTTTAATAAAGCTTTAACCATTTACACGTGCTTGAAATGCGGCTTTTGGTCATAAATATCCATTTTTATAAGTGATACGAGTCCGTGAATAATTTTACAAAAGCGCATAGAACGAACGCGAAAGAAAAATGTTTGAAGTCGTTCGATGTAAATAAACGTATATTCCCCAAGATTTTATGTTAATCAACAGAGCTGCAGGCAATTCCCGCATTCCCGTCGATAATAATGGCAATCCATTTTATCGACGGAGTTTTTCCCCCGTTTTGCAGAAACTTGAGATTTTGAATTCGATTTTGCATTAAATTTCAGTTCAAATTAACCTGCTCCTTCGCGACTCGCCCATCTGCCTGCATCGCTTCTTTGCCACAGCCAGCTGTTAGTGTTATGCGAGTTCTCCGGGTAGTTAATTTAACAGTGACGTCGTGAGCAATTACAATTACAACCATCAACTTCATGAACATTTTATCATGTTTTACTAAATAGCTAAATGACTTGACAGCCTGCCATGGGGGCCAGTGATTATTATTTTAGAGCCGTTCTAAACAGAGCCGACAGCAGAAAGAACTCTCTGTCTCTCTCTGTCACTGAGTGTTGTCGACACAGAGACGAAGGTAGAACAAAATAATTATAATATTAACTAACCAATTCGGCCCAATCCTAGTTTAGCATCCCGGATTAATTTAGCACATATGCGAACTATTCTTCAAGCACGATTTAAATCTGTTGAAGTGCACCCTTATATAAATATGAATACGTGCTTCTTGGTGCATATATCATATTTGCTAAGAATTGTGAAATTCGTGAAAGAAAAATACAAGGCGCGACCGCCAGGAACGTTAGTGGTCGTATTTATTCCTCCCTCCCTTCAGTTATCATTATATTGATTTTATTGGAGCGCACGTTCGCCGTGTTATGCAATTAACAAGCGATTTCCGAGCCGTTGGCCGGTCTGGGTAAACAAGGGCCGGCCGCTCGGTTATTTATGGGGTAAATATTGTGTTTATCTTACCCGTAGATATAGTCCTTGCTGCGCTTATCGACGTCAGGCACGCTGCCCATAACACTATGCGACACCGGGTTGTGGTTGCTCGCATGACTCGGATACTGGTGATGGTGAGGTAAGTGGTGCGGCGTGTGGTTGAGGTGCTGACCGTGGCCAAGGTGCTGCCGATGTCCGTGCGGATCTCCGTACATCGCCGACGACGTCGGCATGTCAATGGCGCCCGGGTAGCCGGCCGACATCGCCGATTCGCTGTACTGATACATGATGATATTAATCCTGAGATAAATCCACATGAAAGCTCCACCGAGCCGTAGGTATCGCGGGGACAAACACGGCGCGGGGGTACGGGGTAAACAATCCTGGTTGCTGGGTAGCGGTGCACGGCACCCACGGTCACAGAGGCTGCGCTACAGATAGAGGGACCTATTCCGCAAACAGCAGTCGCACATGTTCGCGCGCCACGTACATCAGACAACCCAATAAGCACATACGCGCGTAGAGGTGCTCCTCATTTCTTCGACGAAACGATCAAATCGAGTTGTCATGTGGCGCGGGATGACGCTGTCAGCTCGGTAGGGCTACTACGGGCATGCACACAACACACATCAACCTACACGCCGTGCTAGTGTGCGAGTGCCATGAGCATCGGCAGTTTCGCGACCCGCTACCTGGTGGCAGCACTGTACAGCTGTGCGTACCCTTGACCTCTGCAGCAACGCGAGCGAGAAAGAAGGAGGAGAGAGAAAGCGAGAGAGAGAGAGAGAGAGAGAGAAAGAAAGAGAGAGAAAGAGAGAGAGAGAGAGAGAGAGAGAGAGAGAGAGAGAGCGTAATAAACACAGTGCGTGTGTTTTGTCTCGTCGCTAAGTTAATCGTGTGGGGATAACTAGAAGCGATGGTTAACTATATCGTTTCCGCGTATTAGCCGGAGGTATAAAACCAAATCCATCACGCTGGCATTCGAGCCATTAAAAACGCTCGTTTGCAAAAATCTCTCGCGGTGTGCTCTCTGCTCTGTTTGTGTAACGAGAGCATAAAAATTGTGCCGTGTGCCCTGTACGCAGTCAGCGGAGAACGAGATATAGGCTATGCCCGCATCACACATGCAATACGAATTGGTAGTCAGTATTATTTATCGGCTAAAAATCCTCCCCAACCCTCACCTCCTCCCCAACCCCCAACAATACCCTTTCATGCAAAGCACTGTGGTGTTTGGCACACGCCCGTAAAACGCCCCTATTTAATGTGGCCCCGCCCACTGTCAGTAAAATTACCTTTTACAGCATTTTCAACGGGGCTTGCACGTTTTAAAATGTAATAGTATGTAATTTTGGTACAAAGGGAGGCAAAATGACAATATTGTGAGCTGGCTGAATGCTGTTTGTTATCGACGAGGTAGCCTCGCGTGCAGACACGCTGCTTATCAATAATAAATATTTGCGTTACATTACGTGGTGAATATAATACCTTGTTTTGGACAGCAGCTCCTTTCTAGCTCGTCGATGTTATGTAGCTCTGCATTAAATAAAAGCTTTCTTTTTCTCTTTGTCCATGTATCCCTCCCCTCCTCTCATTCTCTCTCTCTCTCTCTCTCTCTCTCTCTCTCTATTAAATAGGGAAAAAAAAAGGACAAGACGCATCGCAGCACTCGCCGTAAGTATATAGTAGCAGGTTATAGTTGTTGGGCCGGCGTTATATTTGTATATGACGGGGGGGCTAAGGCACCTAT